AAACGTACTTGGTAACAATTAATTAGTCAATTACCCTCCTCTTGTTGGATTCTAAAATATTATAATTTATTTATAATATAAACATCACATATGTCCTAATTAATGGATATTCTCCAATTACGAATCCAGTTTTTGGATAGCCTCTACCCTTACATCACCTTCATCATTCATGACATATAATATGAAATATTTTTTTATTTATTTTTTAATGAGTTCAAAAGTAGGATTTGAATCCCATACCTTTGAGCTAGCTTCAAGATCAAGAACAAATTAAAGACAAATTTTCCTAATGTTAAATGTTTTTTAAATTATGTATACAAATATTTTAAAAATTCAAGTAAAAAAATTGTTGGCATGTATTTTTATTTTGTAAAAGATGAAAATAATTTTCAAAATTTACTAAATTCACCAAAATTTAAAAAAAAAAGAAAAAAAAGAAAGAAGAAGTGTTTTTATCTCCGTTTATTTGGATGGAAAATATATTTTTATATTTTTTGATATTTGGTATAATGAAAAACAAAAGTTAACGGAAAATATTTTTCAAAGTTAACAAAAAAACAAGCCTATATGGATAAAAAAATAATTTTCATTTTTAAAAGGCAAAAAATATTTTTTAAACTAAAATTTTACCAATGTCACCATACTACCGCCACCACTATCAAATCCACCACCACACCACGGCCACTACTACCATCATCGTCGCCATCACCATCGCCACCGCCACCGCCCACCACCATGTCACCACCTGTACATCAACCTTCGTTTTACCACCATCACCAAACATAGGAAAATGTTTTATTCAAAAAATATTTTTTAGAAAAAAAATTTCGTTAGAAATATTTTCCATTTAAAAATATTTTCCTCCCAAATAAACAGAACTTATTTTGTCAACAATTCCCTCCGATCATTCCCACCTTTGTTTTCAAATATTCCCTCCAACCATGACCATAACAATCTCCTTCGGCTAGTCCTCACCATCTCTGACCGCCTCCTCACTTATTTTTTTAAAAATATATATATAATTTTTGAAAATTTGTGTGCACCAAGTATATATATATTTGTTTTGTTTTTAGAAAAAATAAGCATAATGTTTTCTGTAATATTAAATTAGATACTTTGAGGTGTATGATGGGTTTAAGCCTTGTGAAATTTGTTGAATATTTTTTAGAGATTGGATTAGATGATGATCTAGTCCAGCCTATTAGATTCTTGTGCTTAGATTATTCATTAAAAAATATTTTAAAAATCAGATTAATTAGATAACTGTAACCACATAATTTTGGTGTTTAGAGAAATGAAAAGGCCTATTTTCAAAATCATATTTTATATTTAATTTTTTAAAGATAAAGACGATAAAATCATATGTTTACAACTATTGAATTAATCTTTTTTTTTCACAAAATAAATTACACATAGAAACTTAAAAAATAAAAGAAATGAATTATCGAAGTAAAAACCATAATGAGCCCAATGAACTGAATTGAACCATGTGGTCCACATTAATAAACTGGAGAGAATTTGAATTTATTTTCTTTTGGTGTGTGTGAAAATGAATAAGTAAACTGGAATTTAGATTTGCACAATCCTTGTCCCCAAATGTTAACATGGCATTGCTTCTTTTTTGGCCAATTGCAAAAATAAAAAATAAAAAAAAATGGAACCAGTGAGCTCCACTGAACATGGACATTATTGTAGTTAGGGACAGTTAGTCCGTGAATTCTAAGGCTTGTTTTGAAAAATTAGTTAAAAATTAATTTTTTAATTTTATTTTAATTTTTTTTATTTAAAAAAAACATATAAATAATAAAGAGATAATGTGATTTAAAATAGGTTAAAAATAAAAAATCGACTTTTTGTAAAGTTCTCAAAACACCCTAAATCACACTGCCAAACACAACAAACTCAACTCTAATAAATTTCCCCCTTTAGATCCTCCTATCCTATCCGCTGCCCTTCAATAAGTTGCTCACAAAACACACACACACACACACACTCTCTCTCTGTCAAACTAGCTGCACTCTTTGAAACCGGCTGTTCTTGTTGTGCTTCTGTCTACAACTGTAAAAAAAAATAAAAAAACTATTGAGCTTCTATCAAGATGCAAACAAAATGATCTGGGGTTGTTTAGAGTATAGTTTTTGAGAGAGTAAAAGTTAAAAAATATATATATTTTTTAATTTTAGGATAATTGACCTTTTTAACCTAACACCTCTTAGACTATAAGAAAAATTATTGCAAACACTAGAAATTATCATATAGGTTAAAAAAATCATACGGCCGTATGCCTATCCAATGTTATCTTTTTGTTTCTCTATTATTTATTCTTTGTAGGACCATATAATTCTTTTAAGTCCCCATTATTAATTAGGTACACAGATATATTAAATTTTCGGAATACTTAATAATTACTGCTCAATACGAACACAAACACAGATACCCAAAATAAAGACAAATTATATTTGTAATATTTGTAATTTATTTATTGTGTCAATTTAATCATAAATAAATCTAATTGTTTCGATTTTATTTTATTTGTTAACCCCTTTTTAAAAATTGGATTAAAATTAATTGATAAAATAGTTTATTCAATCTTGTTAAAATGATTGAGGGTTAGATTCCAATTTAAAATAATTCATTCCATTTTATATTTGATTTCTATTCAATTTTTTAACATATAATTCAATTAGATTAAATTGGTAGAGTATGAAAAATTAAAAAAATAAAATTTATACAATTAAAAATACAAAAATCAAATTAACACAATAAACAAGTTAGATGAACAAAAATGTAATTTACCCTAAAAAAAAATAAAAACATGTCCAATAGGTGCACCACTAGAAGCCAACTCGACCAACCTGCATTGCCTATGCTACACCACAAAAATAGAACTTAAAATTTTTAATGACCTTAGGTGTCAACTTCAAAATTTCTTGAGCCAATTTTTTGGATGTAGTGCAGTTGGTGAAGAGGTTAGTTTCAAATTTTTGCTACCACAGTATTTGGTATAGGTCCAATACTCCCTTGCAACGCGAGTCTTAACTTAAGCAGAGTTTGTCTTGAGAAGTTAGGGTTAAGGGTGAGCGCGGGTAGGTTGCGATCACAGAACCTCCAATTCATCATTCGTTCGCTAGATCGGCGGATTAGAAAAAATTAATCCGCATCCGTCTGCCAATCGACGGATGTGGATTGAGCGGATTGGCGGATGGATGCGAATCGGTTTGGCGGTTTAAAATTTTATAAATTTTCAACATAATTCAACTTGTGTACTTTCTAAAAAAAAATATATATTACAATTAAAGATTTAAAAAATTATTACAATCAGTGCATGTACCGCTCTGTATTATTACATCTATATCTGTTTTTAAAAATAAAAACCAACCAGCATATATAATCTTTTTTATTTATTATTTTTAGAGTTAGATTTAAAAATAAAAAAATATAGATGAATAATACATTTATTTTTTTCAATTCAAAAAATATATTCAAGTTGAAAACTTTTTTTCAACAGAATATTTAAATTTTTTTTCAATTGAAAACACAAAGTTTTACAAATTACTAGGGGCGCTCGCGGTTTGATTGTTCGGTTGCGGCTAAAGGAACCTCAAATCCGCCATCCGTCCAAAATTAGACGGATTGAAAAAAATAATCCGTAACCGTCCGCTCGCCATCACGCATCCATCCAAAATGCGGCGAATTAGTTTGGTTCGGTCAGTTTAGGCGGATCGGTATATTCGCTGCTCACCCCTAGTTGGAGTAAATTCTCAGGTTATAGTCTCTTTATTTGAAACAGACAACAGAAGACCTTGGTGATCTAAACAAGGGGCACTGTCCTGGACATGCGAGAAAGTGGAAGGATTTTCCTGTAACAAAAAAAAAGAGCACAAAAAAATAAAATAAATAAATAAATAAATAATTAATTATACAGTACACATGTTTGTTTTCAGTTTTCACAATTCACTTTCAAAATTTTTACTTTTTTTGTTTTTCATATTTTTTTTTGTTTTTACTAAATTTTTTTAATATTTTAATCATTTTTTTATAAAAATTTTTAGATACACTTAACGTAAATACATTTATAAAGTATAATATTTGTGAAAAAAAATCTTTAAAAAATTCACTAAATATCTAAAATGCAAAGAAAAAAAATTATGAAAATTTAATATATTTTTTAAAAATATTTTTCTGTATTTATTAATTTTTTAAAATATTTTTTTACAAATATTTTACTATTTAGATACATCTAAGTAAGATGTATCTAAAAAAATAAAAAAAAAATTACTTAAAATTAAAAAATATTTACTAAAATTGAAAAACATGAAAAATTTGAAACATATTTTGAGAAGAAAATTTTCAAAAACATGTTTGGTTATAAATTTTATCAATTTTTTTTTTTAAATTACTTCTCTCTATTACACATTAATCAATCATTTTTTCTCTCTCTTTTCTCATTCTCAATTACTTTTTTTTTCACACACATATGCTTCGGCCTCGTTCGGGAACAGGCTAATTTAGTAACTTTTTGACTATTTTGCTAAAATATGAGTTAAAAAAAATTAGTATGTTAGGAATGATTTTTTGGCTTTTTACGAAAAGATGTGCAAAAAATAGAGAGAAAATAAAATTTTTGACTTTTTTATACGGATTGTTGACTTTTTGACTTTTTTAATAACTTTTTAACTTTTTGATTAAATAAGTTGGTTCCCAAACAAGGCCTTAATTATAAAATATCAAATCTTCCCAAACTCTTAAACTATTTTCAAAATATACAATCAAACAAACCAAACAAATTTCTACACTTTCTCCCCAATTTTTTTTTTTTAAAAATTACCTCAAAACACAAATCAAATACATCCTAAATTTAAAAAACTGCAGCCAAACGCAATATTAAAACCAAATAATTGAACAATTTAGCTTCTTTTTTTTTTAATATAAAAACAAGAAGAGAAATATAACAATTAATTATACAGTCCACATATGTAGAACCCAACAATTTAAACAAATTTTTTTTTTTTGTTGAATTCCCAAATTTTCATTTTTTATTACAATGAATGAGAATTCAAAAATTCGATTAATGTAACAATGTGCGAAAAATATTCACATTATAAAACAATGATACAAATTTTCCTGCACTTTCTTTTCTTCTTCTACTCTAAAATGTAATCCAATCAGAATGGAAGGGAGGAATCACGTTTCCAAGAAACCAGTCATCCTGAGAATTGTATTCCTGACTTCACTCAAATCCCTCCCCTTCAAAGTCCTCCCATTTCCAGTACACACCGAGAAAGCCATTTTTCCGGCGAAAATCCGCCGACCCACCACCACATGCGGCGGCACAATCACCTCCTCATCATCCTCAAAGAAATCCGATTCCAACTGAAACCAAGAATTTTTCCCGGAAACATTTTCCGGGATGTTCACCGGAACTGAATTCTTCTTCTTCTTCTTCTTCTTCTTTTTCCGCTTGGGATTCTCGTTTCTTACGACCCGAGAATTCAAATGACCCGAGAAACCAAGCTCCTCGACGTTGCCGTCCTCTGAATTTAGAAAACTTTCCGGGAAAATGACATCGGATTCTTGGAATTCTTCTGCCATGGGAAAATGGGTAGGAAAGAGGAGAAAGATGCGGAGAGATGGATGTGGGTTTGGAGATTGCAGAATTGGAAAAAGGGGACGAAATGGAGTGGGAATTTATAGGTGAGAAAATGAGAATCGGGGAATCGTAGTGAGTACATTTTGTTGATTGTTTCGTCAGATGATGTCACTGGGAAAGGAGTTGAGTGCGGCCCCCGCTTTCTCTCTAGCTTTGGTTTTGTTTTTTTTAACTTTCTCTCTCTAAAAAGTTTTCTCTCTCCAAGTTAAGCCAGCTTGCCTAAAACAGCTCCCTTTTCTTTTGGCTCACGATTTTCTTGTTTACGTACAAATAGTTGTGGGATAATATTATAATATTATAATATTGGCTCACGATTTTCTTTTGGCTCACGATTTTCTTTTGGCTAACTTAAAATTATAATATTGTATGACAAATTTTACAAATAATTTTTTTGGTTAACTAAGGCCTTGTTTGGCATCCTCTAAAAAAGTTAAAAAGTCGTTATTTTATTTAAGTCACATCATTTTATTTAAATCACATCATCTCTCTACTATATCATTTCAAATCCAACCCATATTTCTTAAAAAGTCAAAAAATACATTTATTTAAAACATTCCAAATAACCCCTAAAATGTTGGTAAACAAAATTAAAATAGTTATACTTTTTATATTTCAATCTTATTATCATGTGTTTTTAGGACAAGTGTAAAATGTAAGAAAATAACAAGCTAATGGGTTGCAATAGAAATGATATAGATGTAGGGGTGTAAATCTGGCCCACCCCGATCCAGCTCGGCCTATCCGAACTCGAGTCGGGCCAGGCCGGGCTCATGTAGGGTCTCGAGGGCTCTGACCAAAATTCAGGCCGGCCCATGGGCCAAGAAATTAAGCCCATGGCCAGGCCCAAGCCTAGAGGTATTCGGGTTTCGAGCTTGGACAGGCCTAACTATATTTTTTTGTTTTTATAATTTTTTTCTATCAAAATTTTATTATTTTTCATTAAAAAATACACTAGGCCTTGGGCGGACTGAACGGGTTGGGCTTCGGGGCGGAGCCCTAAGTGGGCCTTAAGTAAGCCGACAGACTGGGCCACGGGTCGGGCCAAACAGGCTAGGTCGGGTTTCAAAACAATGGCCCAAGCCCTAACCCAGGGGCTCGGGCTAGGCCTAAGGGGGCCTAAACGGGCCGGACCCATCTCAAGCCGCGGGTGGATTTTGGGCCGCCCACAAACAGCGGGCCATTTTTACACCCCTATATAAATGAAATTAAAACTAAACAGAAATTACAACACAAGTAAAATTTGTCATATACTTTTCGTGTGTTCTAATTTTTTTTTAAAGCTAGTATATTTTAAGTTTTAACTCATGCATAGTTTTTATTAATTTTTTATATGCTTTAGTTATTTATATTTATTTGTTTTAAGTATGTTTAATTGACATAAAATTCTGATAACATATAGGGTTTGATATCAAGTCAAGTTGTTGGCTTGTAAAAAATGGAGTCTAAGTTTGTCTGTCGGCATTTTTCTGGCAGGTTCATGCCAAGCTAGCCTGCAGGCCAAATCTTAGGTCCAACGGGCCAAGATTTAAAGCTTATTTTCTTAAGTTTTTTCATTATTATTATTTTTATTTATTTATTTTTTCTTTCTCCATAGTCATGGTCTGACCCAGCAGGTCTTTGACAGTGGCGAGCTTCAAACCCTTGGCCTGGGTCCAAGACCAATCTCATTTGAGCTACCTTGGAGTACAAGCTCAAGTCGGGCGAGGCTTCAAGATAAATGAAGACTCTTAGGCCTTGTTTGTCAATTTATTATTTTAATTTAAAAGTCAAAAACTCATTAAAAAATAATAACTTATATTAAAATGTCAAATATTTCATTTTTTTTCTACTTTTTATATATTTTTTTGTAAACAAATTAAAAGTCATGTCAAACATATTAATTTTTTTACCTCATATTTTAACTAAAATATCAAAAAATTACTAAAATAATTTATACCCAAACAAGACCTTAATAACATCAAGAACAATTTGACTTGTTTCAAATGATATCTGCAAAACTGAACCTATTTTTCTAGTAATATTTTAAACTGGACCAAGTAATTTGAGCATTAAGAACGTGACATGTTAATACTTTCAGAAAAATAAAGGTTTAGATTTAAGAATAACTGCTAAGAGTAGGGTTGCAAATGAACCGAATTGTTCACGAATTGACTCAGTTTAGTTCGTTTACTAAACGATTTGAGTTCAAGCTCGAATATTAAGCTCATTTAGTAAACGAGTAGAACTCGAGTTCGAATAAGTTTGGCTCGTTTATCTTTATTTAAATTATATAATAAATATGCTATTTATATATTAAATAATATTAAAAAAAATCTTATCAAACCGAGCTGAGCTCAAGTCCAATTACTTATCGAGCCGAGTTCGAGCTCAATAAACGAGCTTAATAAGTAAATGAGCCGAGCTTGAACTCTACAAAACTCAGCTCGACTCAATCTATTTGCATCCCTAATTACGAATAGCGATGACATTATCTTGTATAGTGTTACTAGTTAATAAAAAGAAATTATAAATGGAATTAGGTAGACGAGTTTGGTCTCTTCCACTTACTTAATTATATTGTGATTCTTACAATAAAATAAAAATACTAATTAGATAATAATATGATCGGGTGGTGCTTGGTTTTCCTTTTGGACTAATAAGCACAAAAGGACAAAAAAAAGTTAAAAAATTACAAAAAGTCAAAAATCATAAAAAGACAAAAAAAAATTACTATTCTAAAGTTAAAAAGTCAAAAAAGTCAATTAAAAATACCAAACGAATAAAAAATTCACAAGCTAAAAAAATTAAAAAATCAACTAAAAAAGTCATTACTCAACGAAGGTATAGTATCATGGTTGTATCCAATAACAACAACAAGTAATTTCATAATGAATATTTGTTGCAAATGATGTAAATGTGTTGTAACTTATATATATATACATATATTAAAAGTGAATCAAATGCGTGGGGAACCACATGATGAAATGTGATTAGTAGGAAATGTAAGTGGATAAGGATTAATCTTAAAGACTTTGATAAGGTGAGGGGTAAAGTTTATTCATGGCTTATCAGTGTTGATAAAATGTTGCCACCTTGACTTGACTAAATTAAGAATAATCTCATCTCTCAAGCACGTGTAACGGTGTCACCAATTGTAGCAAAGAAAGAATTAAAAAAGGTGTTATGGTGTCATCTTGTACGGACCCATAATTTACATGCATTTTATAATGGCTATGTTTGGTGTAATGGTAAACGATGAAAAATTCTAAATCACCAAAATTCGAATATAAAATTTATTTTTAAAATAATATGTTAGTTTCATTTTTGTAAATTATAATTATATAAATTGTTTGGTTTAATTTTGAAAATTTATTTTTAATATTTTGATTTTTAGTATTTTTTGCTTTTAGTGATTTTTTTTCATGTTTTATGTATTTTTTTATTAAATACAAAAAACATGAAAATGTACTCTCTCTCTCTCTCTCTCTCTCTCTATTTAGTGATTTTTTAAAATTCTTTATAAGTATTTTACTCTTTAAGTACATTTAGATTAAGTGGATTTAAGGAAAAAATTAATTAAAATATGAAAAAAAATTCACTAAATATAAAAATAAATAAAAAAAACTCAAAAGTAATTTTTGAGTTTCAAAACCAAACAATGTGATGAAAAGTGTTATGTTTTCTAATGTAAAAATACAAAGCCTATATCATTCTATATAACAACTTTGCATAATTAATTATTTATTTATTTATATATCACTAATTTTTCGGGCTAAGGTCGGCTGTGTTGTTTATTTGGCACATGTTAACCAAAGACACAAAACGACACCCTACCTGTGCACAGAAATCGCTACTGTGTTATACACATCGTAGCATCCCCATTTTCATGGCAGAATCAGGATTTCATCATTGAATGGGTCAAAAAATAAATAAAAATTTTCATCATATACATAAGCAGATATGTATGGATAATATGATATATAAATTATATCTAAACACATAAAAAAATTCAAACACTATAAAAGTATTTTTTAATAGAATGAAAAATACATATCTCATTTTTTATATTGAAAGTCATTTTTTATATAAAATAAGATATATATATATATATATATTAAAATATCATAATAAATCATATTTTTCGTAGAAATAGGAGGGCCATGTCCCTCCATTGTATTGAGTTTTATTGTATTTTTTTTTTCATTTTAGTAATAAAAATTACTTGAAAAAAAAAGAGAAAATGCTTAAACAGTTGAAAATGAAAGTTCAGTACTAAAAGCAACCTCACAGTGAGGGTAGCTTGTAGAGTCATCCTTATCGTTATAAAAGTGCAGCACCGTGCAGCACCGAAAAATGAAAAACAAAGTCAAATATTTTTCATTTATCATAAATTTATTAATTTCATAAAACAATCCTGACTTTTCTTTGTCTTTCACATAAGATTAATTGCAATCATAAAAGACTATATTAAAAACTCATATATCAAAAAATTCACGAAATTGATTCTCTAAAATTTTGAAAATTAAAAAAAAAATAAAAATCTTGAGAACATTTTTTTGCGACACAAACCATGTTAAGGGAAAATCAACTCTTTGAATATATTATATAACAAACTACATAATTAATTACAATCTATGTATGATTAATTTTATTACTATTTTTGGGGAGGCAGTTTTCATTCAATTCACAATTGACACGTATATATGATAAAAATATTTTATTGAAACTCTTCACTTCTTCTATAATTTCTCATGTCAATATTTGTTGTATCTATACATATAATAAGATGTGAAATAAATTTGGTGACAAATATTGAGATGATATAAAATGATGAAATAAGCCTGATAACAAATATAATTTCTCTATTGATATTAGTGACATTAATTCATCTCAAATAGAATTTACACATTTGCTAATATGAAAGCACTATGCAAAGTCAGTGAAAAATATATGCTTTTAAATTATTAACAATCTTAAAGTCAATTGTGTCTATCCATATTTACCTACTTCAAGCTGAGTCACTAGTTTTATGCTAAAGATGTGGAGTAGAATAAATTGTCCCCTTTTTTACCTAACCA